TGAGCGTGATATCAGTTCAGCTTCTCGTCTTTGCAGCACCATCATCATGCTTCCGGTTTTCTGTTTGTGAAGTTTATGTGCTTTTTTAGCGCTTTTTTTGCTCGGCTCCATGTCGCTCCTTCCGTCCTTGTTTATACTGGCTAGCTGTTTTTAAAGTTTTTTCTCTTTTCCATGCTGAGAATGCTGGTGTAGTTTATCATTTTTTTTTTCTGCAGAACTCTGCTTAAGTTGCTTCCAAAGCTATTACTTTTTGCGGAGATAAATAGCAGAAGAAAAAAAAAGTGATATTTATCTTCTAGTTCCACGAGTGTTAATGTTGGGAGGTGCTTGAGACGCTTAACTGTGCATTCAAAACTGTACCGTCTAAGTTTCGAATCTGGCTTGATGATTGACGTCTTGCTCGAAATAATTAAATAATCATTTGGATGTCATAGACATTTAGCAAGTATTCATCAGTGAACTTTGGTCTCTGAATTTTGCAATAATGCAACGTGTTTCGCAGAAACGATGAGCTAACAACGATGACTGTTTGATGTATTGAAAAAAAATCTACTGATGAAGAACGGATCACCGTTAAGTCGTTTGGTTTTTTTCAGTACTGTAACTGGAAAAACGTATTTTTTACAGATAGTGTGGATTCATCTGGAAGCTGTGAACTGTCTTCGCGTGTCAAAGTTTCCATGGAGGTTGGAAGGGGTTTTGTTTTCCTAGTGGAAGATCGTGGGACATGCACTTCGTCAAACACAGTCATTGCTTACCTATCAGAATGGAAAAATTTTTTATTATTCTAGTTTTCTTTTATTCAAGTAATAACAGAATAGAATTTTATGGCATATGTTATTTTAAATAGTGAATGATATTCTGTAGATTTTTGGGTTCTATTTGGAACATGAAGCATATGGGTGTCAAATTATAAGGTCGGACCAACAGTAGCATTTGATCGTGAAAAAGCAGAAAAGAGTTAGATCTTTGATGGCAACGAATGGTGGGAAGTTAATTTATGGTCAGTAACAGAACAGACTATTATGTTCTGTTTGTCTACTATTATAACGCTTATGAAGAAGTTGGGAACGTAAACTCATAGCTTCGACGTGTAGTCAGTAGTTCTTTGCTGCGGTGCTCCTGAGGAGGGGATTACTCGGAGAAAAGGCGTAGGTTTTCTGGTGCTTTCCTCTGAAAAGAATCTTTCTATTGTGATTTGTAGCGAATGATAGGCAGAGATCAAGTGCAGTAACATTTGATTTGTCTGATGCCTAAAATCTCTAGAAAACCTTAGGATAAGTAGAATGCAGAAATATATCACTGTTGTACCGGAAAGCGAGTGGTAATTTTATATCTTTTTCTGTGCGTTAATATAGCGGTTGCGTAAATCACAGATCATAAGGAGACTGGAAAAGTAAAAAAGATGGAGAAGTACAAGTACATTTTGGAAATGTTTGATCGGATCTAAGGTGTAACTGAATTGTACTTGAGACGGTGAAATTTATTAGAATTGTATCATATAGTACACTTTTTACATAGCGAGAATAACGAAGGATTGATTAGTTTTAGAGGGGCGTTTGGATCTATTTCTGATCCTTACTTCATTTCAGTGTCAGCAATAAACAATTGCTTGAGTAAAAACTTGAATATTTCTTCAAGCCTGTAAAGCTTATCCGACTGTTACCAAAAAGTGAAACAAATTTTGCGTTGATCAGTTTTCTGCTATATAACGCTGAACGAAATAAGTCTCGACTGGATGATGCTACTCACGTACGTTGAAATTTTTTTTTTTTTTTTTTTTCTATTTTATTGCTTTGTTAGGATAGCAGAAACCATGAACAAATTACCACAAAAGATTTAGTTTTTTCCCCTTTTTATTTGTTTTATCTGTTGTACTATATATGTATATATTGCACTTTTTTCCTCGTATTAAATTCTCGAATTATATACCATTTCTTGTATGTGTTGTTATTGTTATTATTGTCGTTATTTGAATATCTATTCATTGGTTTATTTATTTTGCTGACTGCCTTTTCAAAACGTAGCACTAAAACTGCACCTTTTTTTTTCATTCATTTCTCTTTTAGAAAATTTTTTTCTTTTTAAAAGTAGAAACGGGTCAGAAGGAAGAATGTTTTATTTTTTGGCTTCGACATTCTTGTCTTTTTACTCTATTAAATGGTTTCTTGACATTGTTTTAAAAAAGTATTTGGTTACATTTCGACGTTTGTTATGTCTTAAAAGCTTTCTGATGTTTCGTAGTTTTTTTGCTGTGATTATACATTACTGTGGGCATATTTTTATCTTTTTTTGTTGCAGACTTCTCGCTTCTTGTCCATCATTCATCTCGGATGTTGGAGGAACCTCTATTGCAGGATGGGCAGCTGTATCCTCCACCAATTAGTAGAATTTTCACATCTTCATTCTATATTCCGTTCTTATCATATATTACTCTTTTTCTCTTAATACAGTACTTTGTTCAGAAATTCTTGTATACGCAGTACACCGGATTTAGGCAAGTTTTTATTGCTGAAGGCCGATGGCTCATCAAAAGTTGTCTTTTGTTTTTGAATTATTTATGTCATTTTTGCAGCTTAAAGAATGTCGGTTTATTTATTTATTTATTTATTTTTTGAAAGTTTTTTTCTATTATTCAATTTTACTTTAAACATTGGTTTGATTCTTGTCTTTATTTGTTGTTTTCTCTTTGCTCATTGAGATTTAAGCTAGTTTTAACTGTATATTTTTAGGCAGTATCGTCTTCGTAACTTAACCGTTTGTTTAATACACTCAATGATAAGTGGAATTTGGGCATTTTCTTTTGTATTGTTTCATCCATATGTATTCTTTTTTGAAACTATGCACTGGTACCAGTCGTGGGCAGCTCAATTACCGTTACTTTCAATGGGTATTTGTTTTATTCCTAACTAAAAGTGCTCTACCTTGAAACAACTGAGAAATCTAAAATATCTTTTTTAATCAAAATGGGTTTTCACATTTTTCAAGAAATCTTCTTGGCCTGGAGATGTATTGCTAAGTAGTTCATTAAACATTCAGCGCTTTGAAGTACACAGAGCTATTATTATTATTTCACAATTTCTCTACAAACATTTTTGGACATTTTTTTCAAATTCCTGGAATTTTAGCGGTACAGTTTTTTACAATATGATTTTTTTGCTGTAGGCTACTTCGTTTGTGATACACTTGACATGCTGCGACATGAAATTTCACGTTGGACAATTGAGCTGTTGCTTCATCATACGGCTAGCCTTTTTGTTTTTGCCTGTTCAGTTTTACCTCAGAAGTTTTTGCCGTACGCGTACGGCGCATTACTTATGGAAGTAAACAGGTAAGGAGGTTCATTACAAGCAGAGACTTGAAAAAATATGTTTTTTTTGAATTGTATTTTTTTCTGAACACAGTAATCTTTAGTGATTTAGTTATAGAAATTTACAGTCTTATTTTTAGTATATTTTTGCATATACGTACGTTAATGCAAATCACTGGGAAGAACAAGACTGAAGAAAAGAAGTTCCATGTTGTTCAAACTCTTAATATAACCACGTAAGTTTTTTGACGAGAGGTTAAAGATTTTTCTGATTTTGTAAAACGATTGTTCACTTTCCATATCATCTTTTGCCTTTTAGGTTCGTAGTATTTCGTTTTGCTGTTCAAACTTGGCAGATTACTTGGGCATGGGTATATAGATATGACATGCATATTTTTTACGTTTTTGTGGGTGTTGTAGGAGGAGGTTTCTTCTTGATTGTTAATACTATTTTATTTGTGCGAGTCTTAGCATCGGATGGTTATCTTGGCGAATATGGTAGAAAGCACACCGCTATAGATAGGTAACATTTTTGCAACCTTTTTATCATTTTTTCGCGCTCTATTTTTTATTTGTTTTCTCTTTTTCTTTTTTCTCAGTCGTTGATAATTCGCAAAAGCATCCGTAAACGGCTGGAAGGGATAGGCAGCTGAGGGGCATTAGAGCTGAAGTAGTATCAGTATTAGAATTGAAAATGGTCTTGTTTTTTTGATCTGTTTTTGATTTGTTTTACAAATGAGTGGTATTTGTGATTCACTCTAATTTGAATACGCCTTATTTATGTTTTTTGTAATAGAAACTATTTCAAGTTTTTGAAATTGTAAAAGGGGTAGGTTGTAAAGAGCGGTGGGGTTTCTTATTCTTCATTCATTATTTTTCAGAAGTACTTCATGCTTAAGAAATTTGGATTGGGTTTTTGATTTGTTCTTGTGTTGAAGTGAATGCCATTATTGATTGTTCCTGAGTTCTTAGAGGCTAAATTTCCGGTTAATCCTAATTATGTTCAGTTCTTGAACTCTTCTTGTTGCACAGGAAAAAACTTTATTCTTGGGAATAAAAAAGTAGAATGGATGCTTTAGAAGTAGAGTGTCGTTTCATATGACTTGAGCACTTCATATTTTATGTGGAGTGTTGCTTGCTTAGTACGAATTTTAAATAAATTTGAGAAAGCTATTCATAATTCACAATGAATAGCAGAGTTTTTTGCATTTAGATACAAGTATTTCTTCTTCATTTGCAGGCTGCAAATTTTTTTCGAACCGTTTTTTAGACCTTTGCTTTTATGAGGTTGCTACAGTTATATAATTAAGGCCACCAGTGATTGTATATTTAAACAGCATCTCTGAAATTTCTTTCCTTGGCGCTGTGTTGAAGGATCATGAACATTTTCAGGGATAAGCGTGGAGAGGAGTATATAATGAAGGATACGAAAAACAGTTGAAGTCTTAATTGTTTTTGAAGCTACCGTTATGATGAAGGGGTATAATGTATGCCAAACACGAAGACATATTTGATTTTTAAGATTTTTGACATGATTTTTTTGTGCTCGTTTACCATTTACTTCGTAGTGTCATTTGGCCTTCCTGTGACATTTTTATATCGCCATTTTTTGCTCGTGATGCATTTCCACTCGTAAGTGGTTAACTTGTTGCTTCTTATTCGAAAAGTGATTAAGAAATGGCGTTTTTATGGTTAAAACCTTCAAATTAATTCTAATATAAGATGTAAAAAGGGCGTTTGGGAAAGTGTTGTGCTGGTGCAGCTTATGTAGTATTTTTAAAGCCAATTTACCATAAAATCTTCTGTGTTTTACCTATGTAAAACCAGGTTCAAATGGTTTATGGCTTTTTCGAATTTAGTCATCTTCATTTTTTGGAGCACTCTTTCTAATTATTTGCTACCATCAGTAATGTAATTACATAAGTTAAAGTGTTCTTCCTTCAATAATTTTATTTTTGCCACATTTTTTCGTGTTATATAGGGAGTGGTTAAACATTTTAACTGTATGGTTGCCATTTAGTAATTTTATATTTTATTGTAAACTTATCGTCAAAAAATTGAGTTTTTTTTGTTACACTGAAGACGTAAGAAATTGTTTTCATCTAATTTTGTTTTTTTTTACGTCTTGAAGTTTTAATCTACAGGTAAAACACTTGAGACAGTACACACTTTGATGTACCCTAAAGTGATTGTTCTTGACGATTCCTTTAAGTTTCTTGATTGTTTCTTCAGAAGACTTGTTCAGGTCGTTTTTATGATTTCTAATTTTTATTCTTCAAGTTATATTAATTTTATCGTTATTGACACTGTTACAGTTATTATTATTATTTATTGTTGCTATCTCTGTTGAAATTGCGGCATCAAATGCTGTATCAGTTGTTCATGTCATTTTTAAAGTTTTTATACTGAATTTTCTGGTTAATCTATGTACGAATTTTAGGTAAATATTTGAATTATTGTTGTATGATATAGTTGCTTTATTCCTTATTTTACGTTAACTACACCTGTTTCAGACCATAGTTCTTTCTGATTTTGTTACTTGAAATTCATTATTTGTTAGGTCATATTTATACTTAGTCTGAAGAACAGTTTGACTGTTATTTTTAGGTAAGGATAAGTGTTGAAAAAATTTTTTTAAACTTTATGTCCAGTTGAAATAATTGTGTTTACTGCTGATCTGGGCAGATTCTGTGTGGGGAGATTATCATTTAAGGCATTCTAGCAAGTACAAAAATTGTTTTGTTTATTGTTCCTTCGTAGACTTTTGTTAGAGTTTTCAAGCAGTTCAGCAGACTATATTGGCATTGCGGATGGATGCCGGCATGGAAGGGTCAGTTAGTGGAATTGTAATATAAGCTTTGGTCGCACATTTAATTAAGGCTGTTTATCAAAGGTTTTTACTCTTTGCTGTTATGCTCTGCGTGATTTGAAAAACTTCGGGTTGTTAATTTTTGATTTTTCTGACAAGATAGACATTATTATGAAAATACCAATAAAGAAGTCATGATTGTTTGTTGCTTCTAAAAAAAAAA